TTTTCCATATCCGTACATCAGATGTATTTTTCGTATTAGCAGGCGCAAAGAACTATTCAAAAATTAAAAAATAACTCAGGAAATAATCAGGACCTGAAAAAATGAAAATTCAAGGATTTAATATGACGAGAATGAACCACTGAAAAAAAACTTTTTGAAACATAATTATTTAGCTCTGATGCAAAATATTTATTCATTCCGTACCATAGTTACGGTTGGAACAATAATAGGTTTTTGAAACGGAATATTCGTAGATAAATTATGGACATACAAAAATGTATATATATTTATATGAAGCAATACATTAAGAATTCGCATTCTTTGATAAAGTCGAAAGTACTAAAAAAAGAATTCTCCAAATATATCCAAAACCTCTGTAGCAATAAAATTTTGGTATATCAACCCAGATTATTCAGAGTAATCACAGAGAGTTTTCATCTTCAAATTTCGTCAACAAGTGGCGTAGTATAAGGGTCGTATGTCGCCACATTTACATTTTCCTTCAAAATTTTTCTTAGATAGATGAATTATCAAATTAGTGAATGACATCAGTTAGAATAATCAATACTCAATCTAAAAGTAATAACATTCTGCATGCCTAAATGTAGATATTTGCAAAAAACTTGAATTTGTCAGAACAATCAAACTATTAAAACAACAGTTTTCAATTAAGGGTAACCATGGCAACGTTTTTAATATGTCAAACACTAACAAAATTAATTATTTTAATAGATTATTTGGCGGATAGAATATTTATGCTCAAAAGGAAATACAAGAATTAAATTCGAAGCAAAATGTTCAAACGGACCTCCATTTTGTTCAATACATGACTGACATCTTCTGATCATGAACTGTCGCACGTTTTGGAAGATGCCTCTTTTATTCTGGAGCACCATGCTTACTGCTAAAATTCTAGCAGTTAAATCCTCTACAGCTTCTACAGGTGTAGACTATGGATTTGAGGTACCCCCAAAGTAAAAAATCTAGTGTATATAGGGTGCTCGGGTGTCAAACTTCTTTAAATGAAAAACGGTTTTTTGCAAATCTGATTATGGCTATATTATCTCCTCAATAATTAAATTAACACTGCAAAATGTCGAAACAATTTGGTGGTGAATTTTCACGATATCAACCAAAAACTGATAAAAAAACTGTGAAACTATGCATTTCCGGACCAATGTTTATATGAACTTTTCGTCTTAGAATCACCCAAATAATCGCCCCTTGAAGTTTGACCACAAACCTAAATAACACCCTGTATTTGAAATATCTCCTGAATTCCTGATGGCCTGATGGTATCATTGGCGCACCCAGGACTCAGGCCTGGGAGGGGCACAATGTGTCTAAAAGACTTGCATTTTGACCCTAATAAATAAGGGGTAAATAAGCAAACTGTCGAAAATTTAACGAACATTTTTTATTTTTCAACTATACAAACTAGGTAGGTAATAAAACGGGAATTTACAAAACAAAATCCAGCCTCCTAGGTCCTCTCTCTGTCAAAATATTCAATACCTCATTCGTATCTACATGTACCTCTCTATGGATATTCAAATTGGCAAGGCCATTCAGTCTATTTTCTCCCATAGTATTTCTTAAATATGATTTAAGCCTTCGTAAAGTCGAAAATGTTCTTTCTGCTGTAGCTGTTGATACTGGCAATGTTGAAAATATTTTGAGTAATATAAAAATATATCACGCTTTGCGGATTTTTTTTCACAATTGTGAAAAAAAATCTTAGAAACCGAAAGTATTTTACTATAATTTGGTAAATTACTGAATAATTTTCGGTATACGCTGATCTTCATGTTGATAGGAATACCGAAAAATTGGTAGGTTCCGCTTTGGCAATGGTTGTGTGTGTTCGCGGGCAGTTCTTTGGGGGGGGGGGGGGGCACGTGCCCCAGTGCCCCCCCCCCTTGTGTGCGCCACTGGATGGTATCTGGTTACGTGCCGTTTTCGAGTACAGGGCAGCCAGATTTTGCGGTTTAATGGTCATTACTTCCAGAAGTCATATTATTATAAAAGAAACAGATGTGAACCATCTACGTCTACGATCTCGACAACCGAATTGTTTGTTGTTTCTGTACGCGCTCTTTGGTCTTTAGTGGTACACGCATCGAGGATACTGAAATGGATTTCTATAATTATTGGATATTTCCGATCTGGGCATAAGGAATGGATTATACAAGGTGGTCACGAAACTTCCAAGAACGCTCTTTTATGTCGAAGTGCATATTGGACCCAGACCAGAAAGCTTATCTATCTAAATGAATCGGACTGGATCCTGAATCACATGGAGCATGCTCATTTAGAATCAGTCATATACCAGGGTTCATTACGTATAACTCGTTTGTTAGAAGTTCTCAATATTCCCATATGAATCAAATTCTGAAAATTCAAAACATCATTTAAGATAATATAAACCATCAATATGAAATATCGCCAGAAGCGTTCCACGTTCGATTGAACCAGAAATTATACAGCGTGGAGACTGCGTCCCACGTTCGATTGAACCAGAAATTATACAGTGTGGAGACTTTAACTGGAATAAAATGGTTAGCGGGCAGGTGCATTATTTTTTTTGGAAATTTCCGACATACATCAAGGATTTAATGTATTTTCCAACTTTTAGGGGTAGCTGAAACCACCCTCAACATGAATTTTTCAAATGTTACCCTATGGCTTGTGACCCTTCATTGAAAAGCTGGTGGAAAGAGGAATCCAGTATTCTAGTCGAATTTCAGTTTTTATACGTTTAAAGGTGCATGAAATTGGAATGTAATTTAAAATTTTATTTTTCAACATGTAAATTGCTCTAAATGTGTGTTGAACAATTGATGGCAATTTTTTGCTACAACTGCTATCTGCTATTGTATTCCATTGTTTTTGTAGAACCGCGAAAATAAATTTAGTTTTTTTGGTATATTCATACAGTTAGAAAGGAAATGTTATTGCAAACTGGTGGAAATGCCCTATATCACTGTCACTAAGAGTCGAAATTTTGATGAAAATAAGTTGAGAATAAATTAAACTTCGAGATAATATTTTGATTTCATTCGACCCCCAAACGTACTGCAAACTGGAATATAATGAATAACAAGAAAAATTAATTGGTATATGTTAAAATGAAAAAGGAAAATCAAATGATAATAGGCAAGTATACGTAACTAGGAACATAAAGTAACAATACAAAAATGTGTTACTCTTCACAAACTCTATACATTAGTTTCTAGTTCAGTAGATCTTTTTTGAGTTGAGACAAAATTGTTAGCTCAAAAATTCCGAAAACGAATATTCATATTGGGAAAAGAAGATATTATATTAACATTATTCTCGAGTAGAACTTGGACTATTTCTATAATAGGAGTTTCTGCTTTAGTCTCTAGCATAGAAAACTGTTTTTTCCAGATGAATAACATTTGTCAGAAACAAATTTGTCCAGATCCTCTACATACTTTTTTTGTAGTTGAGTTGCAAATTTGATCAAATTTCCATCCTCTGATGCTGACACTATCTTGAACAGAAAGTCAAATGACTCTGAACAAATTTTGTAGGTGGAACTCCGACGAAAAATTTCACAGCTGCAACTCAAAATAAAACACTGTGTCCGCCATTTTTCTCTCTGGTTTGAACTTTTTGCCGCATTTTTTCTTCTAATTGTGTTTTTTTCGGGATGATTCACTTCTTATCTTAACATAAATTTCAGTTTAGGTAGTGTAGTGATCAAATATTTCGCGTGAAAAATCAAAATATACAGATAATGACTGATGACAAAAGATGTGCAGTTGTATTTTCATATAGCAGTCCTGAAGATTTTACCACCTGGTACAATAGACCCCTGGTAAAACCGGCACTGACTTTAAGCGTACTGGTAAATCAGCCGCTGACGCTTTCGCATTGAACTCTAAAAGTATACGAAAGCGTAGACGGGTCACGTTACGTTTTTTTTTAAATAGTCAGTTATTGCAACTGTCTAAAAAGACAGTTGTAACTGTCGATAAAAATAGACAGTTTTAACTGTCTAAATAGACAGTTGTAACTGTCTGAATAGAATCAGATATCGTAATTCGTACTGTCCTGTCCACTGACTACTGACTCCCCTGTCCTACCTACAACAGAACAACGTAGGGAAAACTAAAAACACGAGCTAATAACCAGCTATAATACGAGCTGTGTATTGCGTGTATAATGATTGTGGTAATTTTTCTATAGTAAAATGAATGATGGCTTAATTAGATTTCATTTCTGTTTGGGTTTTCAACAAATTGAAATTTTGGCCAGTTTGGCTCTCAATCATATCATCATTAGTTTGAGCACTCTCAAACGAAAATTACACAAATTGGGATTGTTCAGAAGCAAGAATTTTACGGACATTCTAGAGATTCAACTATTCATTACAGATAATGCAAAAACTCATGGTCAATTACATGGATAACGATGAATACACCCCAAATGCCTTTAGAATAATTTAGTGGTTACACAAGAGATGGTTCGTCTTCTGCTTCAAATTATTGATCCCGTTGGTGTAGATTCTCGAACTAGAAGACGGCTGAGAAGAAGGCAATACAAGTATGAGGAACCAAACTTTTTATGGCACATGGATTGTTATGATAAACTTAAACCATATGGAATATGCACCAGTAGATGCATCGACGGATTCTTCAGAAAAATAATCTGACCAATCCAAGTGCAAAACTTTGGAAAACTGAATGAATATGGTAACACGAATACAAACTATTCTACAATGATCGATTTTGTACGTTTGCGACGTACATCGATGCTTTTGTCACCCGTAATTCCAATAACATGGTTATCCAAATGCCTTTTTTCAATAGACAGTTGCAAGTGTCTATTTAGACAGCTACAACTGTTTATATAGACAGTTACAACTTTCTATTTTGACAGTTACTGTCTATTTTTAGACAGTTGCAACTGTCTATTTTAAAAAACGTAACGTGACCCGTCTACGCTTCCGTATAAAAGTGCCCTGTCTGTTCGCTGGGGGCCCGAATTTTCCAAACCTGGTTATCGTACCGCGGGGGCGGAGGCTCCAACAACATTATCATCGTCTCCCGGCAGGCCGAGGGATCTTCTTGCGTTTCGTGCTTCATTTGTTTCATTCCGTCTGCGCGCTCGAAGACGGGTCATCAGCGTGGCTCCTCTTCTTCTTCTTCTTCTCGGTTTTTCGACTTCGATCGAGCTTTCGGGACCCGAAAGTTCAGAGCGTGGCTTTGGTTGGACAGTCGGTGGCGCGCTTTCAGCACTGAATCTTTCAGCTCGTCGCTTTTCTTCAGCTGTTCGTGCGGCGAATGTGAGTGCGTTTTTTTGGATTTTTGTGCGCGTGTTGGGTGGCCCCAAGGGGGAGGTTTTCGAGGGATGGAGTTGTTCTTAGGGCGCTGTAAAGTGTAAGTTGTTTGAAAGGGTTTTCTCTGTTAAATAAAGTTCGTGATGAAACCTTAAGGAAACGCATATTTGAAAAAACTGGTTTGTGATGAGTATTTTTAGTTATATTTTTGGATGTTTCCTATAATAATACCATTTTGGAAAAAAATCTACAGAGAATTTCCTTTCATTTGTTCAATTATGCATTTTTAGGGTTTCATTAGGATTCTTTTGCGGAAATCAATAGATATTATGTAAGGGTAACACCGGGTAAAATATAGCGATAAGAAAATGAAATAAGGAAAAATTAGATCAGGAAGTAAATTCAGGGAATTGGTCAATGAGGAATTTGGATTTCAGCGAGTAAGATGTTTTAGGATACGAAAAAAATTAAGTTTTTGAGACTCAAATACGTATTTCGGCAACTAAGTTGCCAATGTTGTCATCCTCAGTTTAAAAAAAAAAATACTTGGCACTATAGCATCTTCTGGGATATTTTATTTCACTGTTCAGGGAGTAGTTTTTGTTCAAGATTAATATGTAAATACTTTCCAAACTGCTGAATTCCCTATTGTTTCTCACATGTTTAAGAAGTCTCAAGTTAGGTATATATTATATATATTAGGCATAAAGGTATGGGGTGACTATAGTCTCAAAGATATAATTACATAAGGTATACCAACAAGTTAAACTAATTTGAAAATGTTGCGATTCACAATGGTTATAAGATTTTCGAGAAGATTTCAACAATAGATAATACAGGGTGGATACTTCAAAGTTCAACTCGAGGGAAAAATCACGGGTCAATTTCGAGTGTCGAGAGAATTCCCGGAATTCCTGGGACTACCCAAAGAATTCCTGTGACTACCCAATGAATTCCCGGCCTTCCTAAAGAATACCCGGAATTCCCAAAGACTACCTGGACTACCCAACGAATCCCGGACTTCCCATGGAATTCCCGGACTTCCCATGGAATTCCCGGACTTCCCAAAGAATTCACAGACTTCCCAAAGACTATACCTGGACTACCCAAAGAATTCCCGGACTTCCCAAGGAATACCCGGACTACCCAATGAATTCCCGGACTTCCCAAGGAATTCCTGGAATTCCCAAACTACCCGGACATCCCGAGGAATTCCCATCTCGGGTACACTGGACTTCCCACGTGATTTACCCCTCGGTTCAACTGTAATGTGTTAGCAAGCGGCGAGGTGATTTTTTTTTATTTTAGAGACGTGTGAACGTTTTAATGAATTTACCTCGGAGTTTATACTTAAATTTTGTAAGCAATATGAAGATTGTAGTCTTTTATGCGAGCCTTAAGGCGTAGCTGATATCAATCCCAACTTGCTTTTTTCAAATGCAACCCTATGGCTTGTGACTCGCTTGTGACCCTTCATTGATAAGCTGGTGGAAAGAGGAATCCAGCGTTCTGATGAAATTTAAGTTTGTATTACGTTCAGGGTTGCATGAAATCAAAATAAAATTAAGGTTCCAAAAATTTTCAATGTATATTCCGAGGTATATTCATTCAAATTTCGATTTTCAGCGATTCAATTGAATAAGGCAGGTTAGCAACAACACTTCGTTTCGAACTGTATAACGACATATAGACTGAATAAATCAGTTCAGCTAACGTTGACAGAGAAGAAATATGTCTTCCCCATCTGTCCTTGTCTTCATCAGTGTTCCAACGTAAAATACTGAAAATTTTATGTTATCGATACTATCAATCGAGCTATCAATACATCGACATTAGTTGAGTATTTACGAGAGTATTTATCGAGTTATGAGATGAATATAATTACTGTAACATGGAATATATTGGGAAAATACGTCGAAGCATTCATACAAGATCTAAGGAACATATTGTTCACTTCAGATATATTCGATTGAATCAAATTAACAAAACTAGTTTTCAAATTATATTACCGCACTGTCTGATATTTATTATTATGAGTTCAATCACCAATAGTACATATGATAAAAAACATTCCATCTTGAAACGAGTCCAAAAAACAACTATTAGGTATTTCGCGAATCCAAAAGTCTAGATGCCACCTCGTGGTGAAATTGTGAACCTACCTAGTGAATAATCGCTAATGGATGCATCATATTATGATTTCATTAAGTATAATCGTCGTTGTAATAGGTGTGTATAATTCGGTATAATCCGTATAATTTCACAAAGTTCAAAAACGAATGGACCACATGCACCGATTCACTGTACAAAACAAGAAACATTACTCCTCCATTGATGTTTGCGACTCGCAGCGCCCTCATCGGTGGTTGAATGTCAGCTTTCCTGATGTCCCTATCCTATACAGGGTGTTGATTTCAGGACTTCCCACCCTAATTTTCTCGAAATGTGTGTATGTTTTTGAAAAATCCCGAGACACGTCAACTACATTTTCGAGGGGGACATGGTTCTAAAATATTTTCAGCCCCGCGGCGTTGCCACTTCTAACGAAAAGAAGCAACAACTTTGTCATTTCAAATGGAACACCCTGTATTTTATTGCATGTTTAGATTCTCCCTGAAAAGCTGATTTCATCAATGTATCACACTTGGGGTCTAGCAGGAATGATTACAGAGATATAGGGTGTTCAAAATCGAGATTTTACAACTTTAGGATTTTTTTGAGTCGAAACTATTCATTATTGGTCAAAACGGCTTTCATGTCCCTATCTCAACTTTTGATTTACTATCTACTGACATTTATTTGAAACAAATACAGGGTGATCAAAAGTCTGAATCTTGAACCACCCAGTATTTGTTTCAAATAAATGTCAGTAGATAGTAAATCAAAAGTTGAGATAGGGACATAAAAGCCGTTTTGACCAATAATGAATAGTTTCGACTCAAAAAAATCCTAAAGTTGTAAAATCTTGATTTTGAACACCCTATATCTCTGTAATTATTCCTGCTAGACCCCAAGTGTGATACATTGATGAAATCAGCTTTTCAGGGAGAATCTTAAAATGCAATAAAATACAGGGTGTTCCATTTGAAATAACAAAGTTGTTGCTTCTTTTCGTTAGAAGTGGCAACGCCGCGGGGCTGAAAATATTTTAGAACCATGTCCCCCTCGAAAATCTAGTTGACGTGTCTCGGGATTTTTCAAAAACATACACACATTTCGAGAAAATTAGGGTGGGAAGTCCTGAAATGAACACCCTGTATATGAAAACCGGCGTGTCTCTAATTACGACCAATGTGTATTATCTACCAGCAGGTGAAAAACCTGAAAAATGATCCTGCCTTTTTTTTATGAATAGGTACTATATCGTGAATGACATTCTATGCAGAATAGTCTTTTATTTTTCTTCCTTTGCTTCGTTATAGTTGGTTTGGATTACTCTCGGAGGATGTGGTTTGTCCGAGGGTTTGTCTTTTTGTTTCACCCATCAGCCATGGGAATGGAACATATAGGTTTATACGAAAATTTCGATCATTATCACACCGTACCTCATTATATCACTCTTCAATTTTTTTCGAGCAACCAACCTTACCAACCCTTTTCAGAATAAATATGCATGCCTTTTCTCTAGAAAAGCCGATCTCACTGTGCCCAACATAAGCTTGTCAGGAGTAACCCTACCTTTGAAGACATCCATTTCGATGCTTGGGATTAATATAAGCAATAACCTTTCTTGGGAAAATCACGTGAGATCAATCACAAAAACTTGGTTTTCTGTTTCGGGCCAGGAGCTATTTCACTTCCAGTCAGCGGCTTATGATTTATAAGGCACAGATCCGACCTGTACTGGAATACTGTTCCCATATTTGGAGTACAGCTCCCAAACATACCCTGAAACTGTTGGATTCTGTCCAAAAAAGGGCAAATCGTTTCGTGGGTGATGCCTCGCTCACAAACTCACTCACTTCTCTGGAACACCGTAGAAAAGTTGTTGATCTTGCTCTATTTTATAGATATTTTCATGGACGATGCTCTTCTGAAATATCAACAATTGTTCCTCCCTTGGCAGTCCCCGCGAGATTAACCCGTCGAGTTGAAGCTTCGCACCCCTTCGTGGTCACTTTGGAGACCTGCAGAACATCTCTTTCCAAAGACTCGTTCATCCAACGAACAGCGAGGCTCTGGAACACATTGCCAAGGGAGGTGTTCTCCGAGGCATATAATCTCCAAAAATTCAAGAAGAACACCAATACCTACCTTATTTCCCTTGGTTCTCACGATTTTCTCTGAACATTACAGGATATCCGTTTTCGTGGGAACCAGAACATAAAAAAAATATTGTTTCGCTTAAATTTCATTATTGGATGAAATTCGCAGAATATGCAATAAAATGTACTAAAATTACAAACTGGATCAGTAGCGGAGATGTAAAGGATAGAACGTAAAGGCTCTGTCAGTTGGTTGAATTTTCTCCAAGAATAAAATTTAAGCGGAACGTAGACAAATTTAACATGTTTTAGAATAACGGATATACTTATTTATTTCTAAAACGGTTCGTTTCTCGAAAGAAATTGATAGGAAATAAAAGTATCTAAATTGAATAATTCACATAACCCGGTAACTAGATGATGTCATAGGTGTATACGACTCAAAATGTTGGGTGGCCTGTCGATTTTGAAAATCATCAAAATTTTTAAAATAATGATCTTCTAGAAAGTAACAACGTTCCTGAATTTCGAATTGATATCCTCAATATTGAGCAAGATATTTCAATGAATAGAAAAAAATAATTGATCTTTGACCTCTTGTAGCTCCGCTACTGATAGAGATCGGACTCATGTTTATGAAGACTTATTGTACATATCATTTCGTTATCAGATGACGGTCGAAATTTGCAGTCTGCTCTTGGACCAATATACAGGGTGTAAATTTGAAAACTTTCAATGGGAATATCTCGCGAAATATAAAAGTTAGAAAAACGCCGCTTGGCAAAAATGCTAAAGAGTTAAGGGGAACTAGAACCACCATATTTCAGTGAAGGGATGAGTCACCCTGTCAGCGCAACACACCCCAACTTTGAAATGTCAAATGGCACTACCTCTT